TCACTCACGTCTCTTCTATTTAACTATGAGGTAAATTTCCTACCAATTTCAGGTGTATTTCTGGCTGTCTCGTCCAACACTCGATACCAGATTATAAATGGGCTAGAACGCGTGGTGGAGGCATCTCCATTGGCAAAGCAGGTCCCACTCGTTGCCATGGCTTTTACAGTTGGTGTGCGATTCTCGAACAATGTCTATGGAGGTATGCAATTTGTGGATTGGGCCAAGTGGAGTGGTGTGCAATGACCGTTTTAACAAATATATTTCTTGTTAGCTCCAAACAAACGGAAAATATGTTGGCAGTGAGTTCTAAATAATCTACAGCCTGTATCGGTAATTAGCAGTTACAGTAAAACATTTTATGCTACTGTAATGAATCTATATCTGATCATTGGTTGAAAATTATACTGAGATTCAATGCTTGTGTGTGAACAAAGGGAAATGGGATAGTACAAGAAATTTACAAATCTTGTACGAGTTAGAATAAAGCTATTTGTAATCAACAGTTCATGTGGCAGTGTATGATTGTTCAATGAATTAAAATGCATTTCAAATTTCCGGGAGAAGGTGGCAGGAAGGTTATTGTCATATAGACAGATAATGTGTAAGCACTGCTTGCTTGTAGCATTATTTTACTGAGTTAATGGTTGAAATTTTGTAGCAGAAGTGCAAAATCGAACTATCTGCAGTCGGAATTTTCTTAAAAGATTTCGTTTAAACGCCAAGTTGCTTTTTAAGTGTAACTCTGTTCGGAGCGTTGTGTCTTCTTGATTCTCAACTTGACCAGTTCGAGTGTGCTCGTATGTGATCGTATAGATGTATAATTTTGGATTAAGGTTGTCGTAAGAAAGTAGAGTTCATTGATTAATCATCAACTTTTACCTTTGGATACTATTTATTCATTCAAAAATAAAAGGTTACCGATTGTTTACTTAATTTTATATAACGTACCAATCAATCATTCATCTCGATTTTGTTTGTTCATTTGAACAAAAAAACTTATGTGGTGGATGAAAACCCTATGTATCAATAAATGTGTTAAACCTTGAAAGTTAATTAAATAATTAATCACTAAAATTTATCTTTGTTTACTACTTGTTCACCTAAAATAAAAGGTTATTGTTTCTCATTTATTTTTGCACAACGTGACACATTCATAGGGAAGGCAATGGGGGCGGAAATGAGGCAAGTCGGCCATTCTCGTCCCGTCAGACATTTTTTTTACCATGTCCCGCTTTCATAATCAGGGGTAAGGCCGCCCCCCCCCCCCCCCCTCCCTTTTTTTCAAGTTTTTTTAAAAAAATAAAATAAAATCATGGGCCAGCGGGTCAACTGCGGCCCGTGAAGGTGCAACTCATCCGTCTTGACATCTCTATCAACAAGTATGCATTTGGAAAATAAAATACTTTACTTGAAGCACTTCACAAATCAAAACTCTGTCCATTTCTCCTTCTTCTTTTTCTTTTTCTTTTTTAACCAAATCAACTATGTACATTTATTATTTTAAGTTAATTATTAATAATAACACTACAACAAATGATAAATTACAGA